ATACGTAATATTTTTTAATAATAAATCAAAATTTGTGTAACTATATATTTAAAATTTGATAAAATGAAAATCTTGATAAGCTGAATAAATTGTCACTTCCCACAATCTTCAACTTATCGAGTTTCACTTGTAATAACAATCATGATTGTCACAGGTCTCTTTGATGTTCCGAAATGGGTAGTGTCTTATTTTTAAGGATGTTTCACTTGTTTGTTTTTTTTCGATTAGGTAACTAATTAAAATTTACTATTTTTGATATATACACAAAAATATCAGAGGTATTAAGCATTGCTCTTTATGAAATCTATTCAGTTCTCTATCAAATGTTATGGTGAAATAGTGAGTCTATTGTTAACTCAGGACAGTGCTTGCATTATGTTACAAATGAGCTAGGAGGTTATCTGTCTTTAGTTCCTTAAACTACCTTGCGAGTTAAGCCAGCAGTTCTCAATAACCATGCTACAAAACCACTGTGGCCTTACCAATTATCCTATTGATTGAGGCTTTACTGGAAGATAAGTTTACTAATATCTTTTATTATTGTTTCTGCACAATGAATTACAGTTTTCACTACTCTACTGTATCTTTTTTATTGTAATCTGTATATATTATTGTATTATAGATATGATATCTGTTTCTTTTCTTCGTTCTGATAATCTACTACTATTTATAGTAGTGCTAACATGTCTCTTCCAACTTATGACATGTCCTGCAGCCAGCCGATGCATAAATTGATACATCAGTGATGACGCGCCATGCCAAAGTCTAATTTACTATACAAGCTATAAAAGTACCTATAATTACCTATATAAAAATATATAATTTTTATGCCAACAATATGAAGATAGAAAGGTAAAGTTTGTAAAAATATTGATGAAGTGTATTTGAACTGAGAGATTAATGGAAGTGTTAAAGAAGATATGACCGGAGTTAAGCATAAAGGAAAAATTTAAATTGGATGGCTTTAACATGATTATGTAAGTTTGGAGAGAAGAGTCATCTAAAGCTCTGGTGACTTATTATAAATTATGAAATCATCAGAAAGTTTTTAAAATAGAAGTGATTGTTAAGGATTTTGATGTTGTCATTAAGGTAAGGATTGTCTACTAATAGAAGAATAAGTTCAATGTTTTTTGTGCAAGTAGTTTGTTGGCTTTATTTAAGTCTGGTAGGATTGGAAAAAGTGGTGAGATCCATTCTCTTGGAATTTGTCTAATATATTTTCTTTTAATTTTTGAGATTATTTGCTTGAAGTCTAATAAGTTTTTATTGAGTTGATCTTTGGAAATATCAAGCTCTGCTGCAACTTCTGTAAATTCATTTGGTAGTTTTGATTTATTGGTTTGGATCAAGCTATTCTCGATCCATTTTGGGCCAAAAAGAAATTTTAAGAGGAATTTTGACTTTAGGTTTTTGATAAGATTGTCTGCCTCTTCTTGTATGGTAATGGGCAGAAGTATTGCATTATTTTTACTATACCAATGTGCTGGAGGAAGGGGACATTTTACCCTTATATAATTTAGTGGAAGACACTTTACAGTATAGTTGTTATCACGCAATAGTTGAATCCCTCTTTTAAAGTCTTTGATGCTATTATTAACTGGGAACTGTTTGACTAGATGAAGCAGTAAGTCCTTGAAAGATGGAGATAGAGTGAGGATCAATTACAGCTTTAGGTATCGCCGTTATTACCGGAGGAAAAATTGCCTTGACAGAAGCAGAAATTGGATCATGTGCTGGCACAAGCTTGTCATCTATTTCCATTGCGTCCTCAATCACCCCTTTCCGAGTGGGACCTTCACCACGATGAATTCTCTCTTCTCAAAGTTCTTTAAAAATCAGTCCTAATCCTTGCATGCAAATCTCGCGCTCAATACTTTGTCTCTTAGCATTGTCTGTTCCAGCTTTGGTAAGTTTCTTATACCATAAAATTGATTCTCTATTTCTTGTCAATATATCGATCAAATTTGTCATAACCAAAAAAATTCATTAATTCATTTTTGCAGTCGTGTATTTCTGTATTTACATGGTATTTTCCGTTTATTTTTGGCATTGCGTGGACCCGGATAGTAATTTGATATTAGAAGCCAAAGTCTGAAGATATTATATTATGCGGAGATATTTTTTGTGAAACCTGTGTGCACCAGTGACCTTTTATTTGGCAATATATGAACTAATAATAGTTCAGGACCCTTCGTTTTCTTCATCTGAATGAAACTCTATCTTCTTCCTCAACTTTACCAACACCTACACACTTGTTTTCAATGCTTCCATACCACCATTATTGTCATCTTCCTCCTCGTACTCAACTTAATATTTTTCAACTTCATCTTCCTCTTAATCAAATACTAAGTCAACTCCAAGTTTATCGTCAATCTCGCCTGAAAATTCACTGTCATATGGCATCCCCAAGATGATAATCTAATTTTTTTCCCAAATTCACTAGCTGCGCAAATCTATCCGGTACAATGATACCAATAACTGTTTTAATATCTCTTTCCTTGTCAAAATCCTTGAGTAAAACATTTTTTAAAATTTGCAGAATGTCGTCTGCAGCTTGATCACTGAAGTTTTGAAACAAACGTTAAGATTAATTCGTATGTCTCGTCTTTTTTGTCCATGGTCTATAAGATAACCCATCAAAATTTCGGTAGCCGTCAATACATTAGAATATCTATAGACTTTTTTTAATGCACTAGAAACAATTGTACTTAATAAAAATATTAAGGGAAAGCAACTCGAAAGAAAAAAAGGATAATATAAGACATGCCTCTCATCTTTTCTTTGTCTTTTTTTCTCCTCCTCTTCTGCAGCCTCCTGTGCTTGTTTCTTTTTTCTTTTAAACCTTTTACAGTGTCCCTTTGTGCTTTGGTGCAAAATATTTTGGGTTGATATTCCCCTATAACGTTCTGGCTCACCAGAAGTTTCATAATCTTGACGCGGTAATTCTGATCAGTTTGCTTATAGGGTAGGTGGACACAGAGGTGCAACGCAATGCTATAACGCGTTGTGTAATTTAATTATCAATGAACGAAATTAAGTTGTAAAAATTATGGGTGAAAATATTTAAAATAGTTTAGATAATTAACAAGAAATGTGAAAGCAATTGTACTCTCACAATTATTAAATATATCAGAAAAATCAATATTAAGAAAAATAGTTTGAGAAAGAGTATAGGTATTCAGACCGCTAGATTAAAATCATTTCAAAAGTTGGAGCTTAATCGCAATAAGAATCACTCAAAAAAATAATGTTTAATATCTAACAAAAGATTACTTATGCAATAACAACACCCGATGATCTTCGGATTAGTTACTATCAAATGGGTCATATCGGGTCAAACCCAAACCCGACCCGAATTGACCCACTACAGGCAATAGAGTAGCTACAGTAATGAGATCTTGTAGTAACTGCGGCTGAGTTATATGATTGTGACAGGCGTACTTTGGGAAAATATGAGTCTTCCCATAAACTAGAAAATCGCGAAATTGGCTAATACATTCCTTATTCGCTTCAAATTATCATAGACACACTACCCTTGTTTTATATTCTGTGAACCATTTTCAACAATAATTCGATTGTATTTGATATACAGACATTTCTCTCAAAAAAACGCCCCTTTATCATTTGAAAATTTGGATTCGAAATAAGCATCCATTTCTGTAAAAACTAGCATATTATTATATTAGTTAATTATCCGAACAAAGTAATTCTTTTCTTTCCACAATTGGCTTTTCTACACTACTTATATAAAAATTTTTGCTTAGTAATTATTAAAAAAGATGTCGTTCCGAGAACGATAATACCAAACCAAGTATTGCTATTTTTGTGTGCGTATATTTCCCATCAATTTCAGTAAACTCAGCCGAAAGGAAATTCCGACAAAAGCATCGAAACATGAGTATATTCTAGATAGTTTATGGGACAACTGTTCGATTGTTCCTACCTTTAAAAGTTTACACTATATTTTTCATGCTTGCTTCGATAATAATCTATTAGATTCACTATTAAAATCACTAATTTGTTAAATATAAACAAGAATTATATGTTTGTTTTGATGGTTTTTACTAAATTTTAATGATTATTGTAACAGGTTAATACTGTATATTAATGTTTCTCGATTTTATTTTTAATAAGATGAGTAGTGAGCACTACTAATCTATTAAAGGTAGTAATTATTTCTCTGTAAACCCGCATAATTTTTGGTAGGGAGCTATTATTGCGCGTAATCCCACGCATTGGCCTAATATTAGTTACCAACAAGTTTGTCACTAACTCAGAGTAATTCTCGCGCAACAGTGGGTATAAAAAGATTAATTTATCAGCCTATTCCATTGTTTCTTAATTATATACCATCACTTAAGTTTAAAAGTTGTTTTTGGAATACAACACATTTTTTCTCACGCTAGTCACCCTTCGTTTATATTGTTTTTTTTTATCTTAATGAAATATCCTAGATGTGTCATTGAAAATTAATCCAAAATTGCAATATACATACTTCTACTTTTCCCTTACACCTACCACTTAAGTCTAAAATCACGTTACATGTACAGTATATCTTATTTTATATACTAATACTTTTCTATTGTCTGTCACTACATTCCATGTCCGGAAAAATATACTTGCAAAAAAACATAATCTCAAGCTAAAATATGTCTTTAAAGAAACAAATTACTGTTACTTAAAGAGTCTGTCACCGCACAATTTATAAATTTGAAACAAAAATTTCTTTTTTATTTGAGACATGAGTCTTTTACACTTTTCGTGTGCAACATAAACCAACTTGGTCTTAGACATTTCACTCTGATCACAACCAAGCTAATTTCAATATAAAAATATAAAAATATAGGTATCATTGTGAAAATCAAAATGAAAAGGGATCGAGAATAAATAAAATTCAAAAAATGAAATGAAAATAAAAAGGGATAGAGAACAAAATTCCAAATAAAATAAAGATAAAATTCAAGACAGAAAATAGAAAAAATTAAAGCGTTAGTAAACTAGGAGAAATTGGTTCTTTGTCGTTTTCTTGATGGTGATGAATGCCTCTCCGTATATCTCTCTTCGATGATTTCTAATTGATCGTCAAAATAGTTAAATTTAGAACCTTCGGCACTTTGTTGTCTTCTTGGTAAAACCGAGTCTTTCTCCGCGTGTCTTTTTTCGTTTTCATGTCGATTGCCAAAATCATTAAATCCAGAACTTTCGGTATTCTGTTGTCTTCTTGATGGGGTTGACTCTATCATTCCATATCTTGACTCCACTGCATCTAGTTGATTTTCAATAGAACCTTCGGAAGTGCCAGATTGAAATCCATTTCCAGGATAATTCCATTCTATTTCGGAAGCAAGAATATGTACCGTTTTATTTTTGCCAATTTTAAATCTTCCAACAGCCGAAATGATTGTCTTTTTTAAGTGGTTTTTCAATTGACTATATCGAGGCCATGGTTTAAAGGATACGAAGACTTTTGAATCGATATTTTTGCAATTATTTACACCATTATACGACTTCCTAAAAAGCACAAGACTATCTCTTAAACCTTCATCAGATTTATAAGAGTTTGCGACCACTGGAGCCGAAAACACCAATAGTGGTGACGCACGTGGTAAGTTTTCGCGAGTAAGTTTGTTTTCACTCGAAGAAACTAAGATAGGCACTGATTGTATCAAGGTAAGCTATAGCATTATTAATGAAAAAGATTATTTTTTAATATTTAATATACGTATATACGGCATTGATTAATCATATAAATTATACTACTTACATAATCAGCACCTT